GTCAAAAAAGTAGAAAATTTCCTAGGTAGGCCTTGAAATTATCAGATAGTCATTTGTTTTGCATACTAGATTTATCCCAACATCACTTTTATGTTTCCAGACTTTATTTAAGATGGGATAAATTGCATGTTGTCAATGTTAAGATGAATGCTATATTGGAATTTTGAACACTTAAGAGGTCTTTTCAGTCCTGTAGTCAGTGATGTATTTCCTTAGTTGGCCATGAGTTTGTTGTTCGATGAAAATAAAAAGGTATGGTGATATCTGAACACAAAATGAAAATTTCATTGAAGGTAATAACAATAATAATCATAAATAGCAGAGGTAAATCAAAGCAGATGTTAAAAATGTTGATGGTTATTTTGTAGGCAAAACCTAAATCTTTTCTGTACATTGTTCACTGCTTGATTTATTTCTCTTCTTCTCAGTCTTCCAAACTGTGTTGCTATGTTCAATTAGAGGTCTGGTACATAAAACAAATGAAATCTGATAATTTCAAAGCTTACCTAGTGAATTCTGTTTTTCTGGAGTAACTAAGGTTTGCCAACAATAATGTTTGACATATTATACATTTTTGGAATCAGAATTGAAAACTCTATTCACCTCTATAAAAAAGTTGGCACTGGAGGACAAAAGATCAAACGTCATATTGAAATTATAAGTATGGAATCTTGTAGAGGAGAAAAATTGACAATGTTAAAGTGCAAGTTATATTGAAGTTATATTGAAAATCTGGAAGTACTTTGAATTTTAAAACTTTATAAGTGACATTTTTTTCATTACTTAAATACGCAACTTTGCCCCCATTTAAGTGACTCCATATCTCTTACAGTTTCTGAGATCCAAATGGTGAGGGTTGAATTTGAAACACCCTGTAAAGTTGTAAATACTACTTCAGCTAAAAACAAATTATGTAACACAAACTTACTTTTTATTTCTAGGATCTCTTAATCTCCTATTCAGAGGAATTCTGTCGCTCAAGACTGAATTAAGGGCAATTTTTTTCAGTGCTTTTTCTCCCTCTTTGGCATCTGAACCTTCTAAGTATGCAGGATCTCCATTTTCCCCCAAATGGGGTATTATACGATTTTCATAATCTTTCAGTTGAATTTCATACATTGCACTTAAATTTGTACTAAGCTCTTGTTTATTATGTTTGAGCTGTTCGTCAATATCAAAATTCAAGAAAAATACTAGAATTATGAACAGTAAAATTGATACAGCAAAGAAGAGCTTTATGTATCCTCTCCTTAAGCGCACGTATTTTAGTAGCATTTTTCTACTGAAGGAGCTCATTAGTATTCAGTAACATCTCATCAAAAGGGGTTTTTGTTTCCTGTTTCTATAAAGGCCTCCTATATCCTGACCAACTTAGCAGATAATTGTAGGTCACTTCGACTCCAATATGATCACACAAAAATAGCCACGCACTAAGTCATATTATCACACATGTTTAAATATAATTTATTTGTTCACAATACGTATCACAAACACGTAATGTTATTCAAAACAAAATATGCACTGTGGTTGCATGACAGATCTGAAAATGAGGTTATGATCTCTTACCGTTGAACGTGTCAAAAATCTACTGCGCAAGAATTTTGCACATTAAGGCGCGTACAGACTAGCACACGCATGCGGTGAGAAGCCACGCATATGCGTGCGTGCTCAAATCATTCGCGCTCAGAGCATTCGTTGAAATTATAGCTTTGGTAGTCACCTAATGAGAAGGTATTAATACCGCGCCCGCACGCTTGGCAAGCCTCAACAAATCTTCCCAAATGCAAATGTGCCGATAGAGCGCTTGGCTTGGATTGCAAGCGCTTGTAGCCGAAAAGATCAGGTATCGGCTTTTGATCCCAAATCGGAGAGGATTTGCCGCAAGTGTTTGTGATGAATTCACAGCTAAAAAGGAAGGGGCAGGGGAGGCACCTTAAAAAATTGTTATGGAAGTTCTACAAATCATATCTACATAACTATGCTTGATATTATCCTTTCTATTTGCATTTCACTTATATACCACGTTAATTTGACCATTTATATAGATATGAAAAACTAATAGGATTAAGTTTTTGTAAACATTCAAGCAAATACTGGGCGAGGTGCTTTTTAAAGTAATAATTTAGTCGTTTGTAATGCTTGTAAGCAACACTTGAGATAAGATGTGACAAATGTTTACTATACTTCAAAGTTTACATAAGTACTATATATTTATGTGGTGTACATATCTCTCAAAATTCAAACAGGTTGCTCATTTTTTCAGTCAAGTATTCCATGTTAATTTGACCATTCATATGGATATGAAAAACTATTAGGATTACTTTTTTGAAACATTCAAGCAAATATTGGGCGAGATGCTTTTTTAAGTAATAATTTAGTCGTTTGTAATGCTTGTAAGCAACATCTGAGATAATATATGTCAAATGTTTGCTATACTTCAAGTTTTACATATATATATAGGTGAATAATTGAAGCTTCCGCCTTTTCTTGGGTACTTTGACAAAAATTTAAGCAACCTGCACCTGCAATCATCAAATGGCTTCACGATGTAGTGCTTTCATGTTCTAAAAATTTTTAATCTGTTTTTAACTTGTTCTTGTCACACAGTTGTGTGTATTTTATATAATTTTGACCATTGTACCATCTATCCAGCTTTCACCATGTTACTGGGTGTTTCCCTCATCCTGAACGTAAACAACAATTAGCAACATCCTCACATACTACTCTCCTGATGATGATGGCAAAGTCCATTCAAAGCTAGAGAGAATAAAAAAAGCATAAAGAGTCCTCTTTGCTTAAATTTTTGTCGAAGTACCCAACAAAAGGCGTAAGCTTTAATTTTTCACCTAACTGGTCTAGACGACAATAACCACGTCTCAAGTTATATATATATTTATTTGGTGTACATATTCCTCAAAATTCAAAGAGGTTGCTCATTTTTTCAGGCAAGTATTCCACGTCAATTTGGCCATCCATATAGATATAAAAAACTAATAGGATTACTGTTTTGAAACATGCAAGCAAATATTGGGCGAGATGCTTTTTTAAATAATAATTTAATCGTTTGTAATGCTTGTAAGCAACACTCGAGATAATATATGACAAATGTTTGCTATACTTCAAATTTTACATACACATATATTTAGTTGGTGTACATATCCCTCAAAATTTTTCCATCAAGTCAATAGGCCAGGGAAGTTCTATAATCGCAAAAAACTTCAAATGGAAGAATAATTTTCAGATTATAAGTAGGGGCATTTTTTGTGACGTTCGTCAGCTATTCTTTGACCCTCTGTTACAGACAAGAATATTTATAGTTTATGTTAATCGGTCCCTTTGCGATGGAGTAACCGTTATAAACTATTAATATAATAAGTGGTCCTTCAATAATAGAAATCACTGGATTTTGAAGAAATTTTGAAAGGCGTGTCTAATAGTGCCAGTATTACAACCAAAAAACCTATAACTCCCCCGAACTTGACTTTATATTTTTTCGTTTTTGAAGATTTTTAGCGCAATATAAAATTTCCTTTTAGGAGACAAAATTCAGAAAGAAGTCAAGCCTTATTTGTTGATATAACATATTTTAAGCGGCAGTCAAGAGTTTATTTGAAGTATTCAAAGATTGTGGAATCCAGCAAAACTCGTTTTTCAAATTCTAATCATCTTTTGTATAACTCCAAACACAGCACGAGCAGCAAGAGGTGTGGAATTCGAAAATATGAAGTGTGGAATTTGCGTTGAAAAACGGGAAACAGCTGTTGCAATATATTATCTAGAAACGTCACCAACCTTATCTGACCAGGATAACTAGCCAAATATGAACCCTATTGCGAAATAAATTGTACAGAAGGATTTATACATTCTTTAGAGCAAATGCGTTGCCACTTTTTTATTTCTGCAAGCTGGTATAAATAGAACATCAATATGAGTTTTCGTCTTTTATCTCCTATCTGAACTTAAAAGCTTTTACTTCTGATTTCAAATATAGCATGCCAAACATTATTATAAAAAAAAATTCCTGCGTAAGCTTCGAAATTATCATGTATTCATTTATTTATTCATAGAGCATCAAAGATGATAAAATGTTACGCATTGATATAAAATTTCAAGTGCCTAACTATATTATACTTAATTGGTTTAAACTCATCGTGTAGAAGAGAAAAAGTGGTAATGTTATTGTGTAATTTGTTTGAGATTTGTAGATAGTGTGGATGTATGAGAGTTTTTGTTTCGGACTAAAGCCAAGAGAAAATAAAAACGACTTAGAGTAAATTCGGAAATACACTATGTACTTTAAATTTCCAAACAGTTCCATTTTTCACGTATCTGCGCTACTTTTCACCATAAAGTATTTCGTGTCGTTTAATCGAATGCTACAAGATCAGTATTTACTACGCCAGGGCGTCAGTATAGTTATTAATGCAAATGTTACGTAGAAATCTATTGATGGTACGGACCACAGTAAATACTGATCGTGCGTCATTCGCTTTATCGTGCCCGAGATCCTAAAGGCGAGGTTCGAATTTGAAATACACGTATCTTACCAAAATTAAGCTTATATCTAACATAGATTTCAACTAATCCTAGTAATTTCTTATATAACAGATATTGATTCAGCTTGAGGAGAACTCTGGTTAAAAATCATTTAATTTTTGTAAAAATTTTATTTATCAGGCTAGGGCAATTGCCTCCATTGCCCTTCGTGGATACAACCTTGATAAATTAAATATATTTTTTAAATCAAAGGGTATAAGAGATTAACGATTCAGCAGGACATAACCTGATTTTAATCTTAGCTATCCCTGTCAAGAATAGACAATTATTAGCCTTTTCGGTTGATCCGGATTTTATGACTCTGTAACATCCACCATCTTGACCGCACTTTTTTCTTTGACTTATTTTTTTGGTTTTATAGTAAAAACAAGTTAATCTAAATTTATTGGCCGATACAAGTTCGGAGTTCGTCATGCCACTTCAGAACACAGTCACGCACCCGTAAACATGTGAATGGCGACATTTGCCTCGTCAAAAAAAGCCAAGCATTTGTAGGGGCTTGGAGCTTGCGGCAAGTGGCAAGGTGCGGACATGGCATTAGCGATTGCTCATTTTGAATGACGCTAGCATTTGTTGCTATGACAACACTCGACAACCAGTCACGCAGCCACTGTGCTGCGGAAAAAGCGGCAAAAGTTGTGTATAACCTACATAACCCTACCTTTTCAAGTTGCTTTTCGTTTTTCCCAAAAATAAAAATTGTTGTCATCTTGTAATCCAAAAAGTAAATCCAGTCGTGAAAAGACTAATAAAAAAAGTACTAAAATGACTGAGGAGGCTCGTATGCAATTACCATCAACTTTTGAATTTCCATTTCCACCATACAACATTCAAGAGGAGTTCATGAAAAATCTTTATTTTGTTTTGGAAAACAAAAAGTTAGGCATATTCGAAAGTCCGACAGGAACGGTAAGTAGTATCAAAATCCCTACGCTATTTATTATTATACAAGATGTTTTGAAAGTTGAGGCACTCCTATTTAAGCACAACATTGCTTGGAAAGACAAAGCTAATGTCTGGTATGCATTGACGATGTGAAATAGCAGTGGAAAAGTGTCACACATTATGAAGCACTAATCATTTCCACTGTGCCTATTGTAGGATGCAAACAGCCTGAAAGTGCTAAAAACTAACACCATAACAAATTCATTATTGCTTTAGTGGTATACTTGTACACTTTTTGAGTATTCATATACATACAGTAATGGACAAAAGTATATAGACAAATATGAATATTTACCTAAATACCTTTGCAAAACGAATTCATACTTCATAAACAAATGCATTATCAGGCAGCAGCAGTGGCCACTTTACATAGAATAGATGGCATTATGGATAATACACAGACATATTAAAGCATGTCATGTTACCCTATATGGAAGACAATATGCCCTTAAGATCAATCTTCCAGCAAGATAATGACCTGAAGCACACTTCAAATCTGACAAAGAAATTCTTTCTGGATGAAAAAATACCAGTTCTCAAATGGCCTTCACAGTCTCCCTATATAAACCCCATTGAAAATCTATGGGAATACTTAGATAAGCAAGTACGAGATAAAAATTATTCATACAAGCATGAACTTTTTGCCGCTTTAGAGCAAAAGTGGAGACAGAGTGATGAATCTTATATCAAGAAACTTCTACAATCTATGCCGAGACGATGCCAGGAGGTGATTGATAATAAAGGTTATGCTACAAAATAGTTTGCTTCTGTTTTCTATAATTGTTTTGCTTTGTCTATATATTTTTGTCCTTCATAGTTCCAGTTTTTTTCAATTAATTTTTTATTGAAGGGAGTCTAATTTATTTATGTATAAGTGAGTATTATGCTATAATGAATTATGTATATAGGTTGGTGTATTAATAAAACAAGTTGAAGAAGAAACACAGCACAATATTAATTTGTCTATATACTTCTGTCCATTACTATACATGTGACAGGTTGAATACTTTTCCATGTTATTGGTATCTTTTCACCTAATTGTATGTTCACTACAGATTTTTGGGAACAATATCTTTGTTGCATGTTATAAATTGCTTATTTGTACAAGACCTATGATGGCATGTTAAAGAAAGTCCCAACTTTGAAAACATCCTATATGTAATGCTCAATTTTCAGGGTAAATCCTTGAGTATTATCTGTGGTGCTATAAAGTGGTTGAAAGATCATCAGAAGTTTGAACATGAACAACTTCAACAATCAATGGCTCAACTTCAATCTCAAAAAGAACAACTTTCATCAAACACTACAGATTGGTTGGTATCTCAAAGCAAAGAGATAGAAGTTACTCAACAGTTACATCTGTTGAGACTTCAAGCTGCAAAGATTGAAGAGTACAATAAGAAAATAGAAGATATTAAAAAGTTTAAACAAAGCAACTTGCAGAAAAATTGGCGCAAGCCAAATTCTACTGCAGATAAAAAGTCTGATGAGGTTGCAACTGAGGATGACAATTTAGATGAAGATGATTTATTGCCAGAAACTGTTACTATGAATGACGAGTTGGAAGAACCAAAAGAAGAAGCCACTGATACTAAATATGAACCAATCAAGGTAGCTATATTTGTATAATTCAACAATGTTGAAATATATTTCATAGATACAATTTTTAGATATATATTTGCAGCAGAACACATTCCCAACTAGCACAGTTTGTGGGTGAAATCATAAAGTCACCATATGGTGAAAATGTTAGAGTGACTTCACTAGCTTCTAGGCAAAGCTACTGTATCAATCCTGCAGTGCAGCAGCTGAAGAATATGTCATTAATGAATGAAAGGTAGTCAAGATGTTGCATATATTTAATCCTTCACAACAAGGTAGTGATGATTCAAATCAGTTTTTTTTTTCAAATTTAATTGTGTTTTAACCCAAACTATAAATTGCTGTAAAAATGTTGTGAAAGTAAATAACTGAAGTAACTCATCAGGGAATTCAAAAAAAGGAACATAGTTTATTTAACACTAAAGGTGGGTTCATGCAAGACTTAACGTAACTTAAGAAAATGAGCATTTAAAGCGCATGCGCGGCCAGGATTGCCAATGTAGCAATGGCGACAATATCAACATTAAACACACTAACAAAATCATATGTTTAACTTCAAGGTAGCAGATGGAAGAGTGTTTTGTGGCTTTTGTGTTGCGTGGACTGGCGGACCAGCCTTGACATTGACAAGTGGCCCCTCCCCACTCGCTTGCGCCAATGCACTGGTAATCAAGTCACAGAACTCGGATAATAGTCCAGATAATATCGAAACATCTGCTCGGAAAAATCTTCCGATTCCGATTTTTGCATAATCTGATTCAAGGACCTCTGTTAAAGAATCTGCATGTGACTAGGCCCAAAATTGCTCCAAAAATTGTTATTAAACCGATTCCAAAAATTGATTTGTTCGCTTTGTTTATAGTATTTTGCGGCTTTTAGGACATTCTGAATAAAAAATGAGCTTTAGAACTTTTCTCTAGACTTGATATATACAGGTATACGCAGGGTAAAAACTCAAAATATGTAATTTGCTACCCTAAAAACAATATGAAAAATGAATATTTTGATGTTGCCAAATCTCACACATGCTTAAAGCTTAAAAACATAACTAATCCTCGAGGTCCATCATAAATATTCATAAATTAAACTTAAGAAAACACACAGAAACAGTTAATTTATAGAGTTACCTACATGAATGAATAATAAAAATTATTAACAAATACATAAATATGATATTATATTATGTACAGTGAACAAAAACGTTGCTCAGGCTAACCTACAAAAAACATAAACACAAAATATGTGCTGAGGAAGTCAGTTGTAATACGGTGAAATCTCTTTTGGACTTACATCAACAGGACCGACTGAAACTGTCCGCTTGAGAGAGGTGGCTGTAAAAAAGATATATGGGGTTGTCCAAAACGGACGCAGGAAAGTAAACGTATATTAAAACAAGAAAGATTGATATTTAAATCAAGTTGGGTACTTTATTTTGAAGGTTCATTTATACCATTTATGTATGAAAAATAATATCGCTCAAATGTTCACCACGACTGGATTTTACAGACGTCCACGCGATAGTCGAAATTTTCAATGACATTTTGCAACATGGTCGGTTCTATGGCATTTATCTCGGCAATGATGTTGTTTTTGAGTTCTTGGGGGGTAGCTGGTTTGTTGACGTAGACTTTGCTTTTCAAATATCCCCATAAAAAGAAGTCCAAGGGAGTCAAATCGTACGGTCTTGGTGGCCATGGCACATTTCCTCTGCGCGAAATCACGCGATCACCGAAGAAGGACTGCAATCGATGGATATTGACGTTGGTTGTGTGGCATGTTGCACCGTCTTGTTGGAAATAAACATCGTCCATATCCATTCCTTCAAGTTGCGGCAAAAAATAGTCCTCTATCATCACGTGATATCGCTCAGAATTGACGGTAACGGCGTCCCCGGCCGCATTTTCGAAAAAGTAAGGTCCGATGATGCCTTTTGACCACAATGCACACCACACAGTCACTTTTTGAGGATGCATCGGCTGCTCTTGATACTCACGGGGATTTTCGTTCGCCCAGATGCGGCAGTTTTGCTTGTTTAACGTCCCATTCAAAGTGAAATGCGCTTCGTCGCTGAACATGATTTTTGATGAAAAATTGGCATCAATTTGGCGGTGTTCAAGGAGCCAAACTGAGAACGTTCGGCGCGAAAAATGCGGAGCAAACTGGTTCTCGAAATGCCCAATTCTTGGGATCGACGCGTTGTTGATTGTTTCGGATCGTCTCTCACACTCTCCTTCACAACAGCAATATTTTCCGGTGTGCGAACGCTCCTTGGCCGGCCAGAGCCTGGCAGATTTGCCACAGAACCTGTTGCCTCGAATTTATGCACCAGACGACCGATGGTTGTTTCGTTTGGGCGGTTGTTGCGACCGAAATGTTCACGAAGCGCGCGACACGTGTTTTTTATTTTTGCACCATTTTTGTAGTGCTCTTGAATAACTTTAATGCACTCTTCAATCGAATACGACTCCATAGCGATCATTGGTAAACATTCAACTAACAAAATGACATGTCGGTGACAGAAAACAAAGATGGCGTCTATGTCAAATTGACGTTTACTTTCCTGCGTCCCTATTGGTCAGCCCTTTACAACCAAAATTGTGCTTTAATGAAAACTGAGTGTATTAAAGAAACTGGGACATTTAAAACGTATATGGTATATAAATGTTTTTGAGATAAACAAAAAGCTTTAAACTTAACAAATTTAGATATACAGGGTGTTTCACAAATTATCCGACAAATTTTAACCACATATGCACTGCTACGAAACAAATTGATTTATCAAAAAAAATAGTGTAATAAAAATCCTACAGAAATTAAGTTATAAACCTGAGTTTCAATAATAAGTAAATATCTGTATTTTGCGTTCATCGTCGTGATATTAGAACACGCAATAATAATTTATTGTAGCAAATGTCGTACCAAATAACTAACGAAAACAAAATACCAGGAATTTTTTGTTTCTTGATACCGATAAGAATGTGTAAATAAGGTTCAATCTGCATCGTGGGTGATCTGAATCAAGAACGGTAACGATTTTTGTTAAGTTGAATAAGAAAGTATTTTGCGAGTTCATGTTTTTAGTAATTTGCTAATAAAAATGGCACATGTGCACTAATGAGGAGTTAGTGGTCATTGTTTCAGCGTACGGAGAAGCAGGGCTTCTCGTTTGTATGCACACCGATTACAGAATATATTGAAGATATGGAGATTGATATTCATCATTATGATGTAAGAGTAAACACAGTTTCGAAACATACAGGTGACATACTAATTACAAACTGAGTATGATTGAAGTAAAAACACATAATACTGTAGTTGTTGATTATCAATGGTGGTATATTAATTTTGAAATCAAGATGGAACAAAATTACAATATACTACAGATCTCCAAGCTGTAATATTAACCGATTTTTGGACTTTTTTGAGAGTGTTTGTGAAAAACAGTATTATCGAAATTGCTCCACTGTGCACTTGGGAGACTTGAATATAAATTTTGATAATCAAGATTTTTATGTAAAAAAATTTAAACAGGTACTGAACTTTCATGGTCTATGGCAAAAAGTTAATGACTACACAAGAATTACAAACTTTTCACGAACTAAGATCGATTTAACAATGAAAATTCGAGGTCTTCTAGCCGTTTTATACTACAATGTGTAGGTTGGCTCTTGTTGTGGACTTCGTGTGTCGTTTTTTTTCCTCTCCATCTTCGTTTCCTCAGGTTACACCCGTATCCGGATGTGTGGGCATGTGTATCTACTTTTGTAGTTTCATATGTGCATTCATTTCGGGCCTGATGAAGCCAACCAGCAGAAATACGTATCGCTCGGGTTACCTATCCTATTTTCTGCTCGAATCCACTTTCCTCCTTTTTGCGGATTTTGCCCATTATTTTCCTACTTTTTGTTATATATATATACGTATATATATATATATATATATACAGGGTGACTTTGAAGTTGAGTCATTAATTCTCAGATAATGATTGTAGAAGGAAGATAAACCAAAATATGTGTGTAAAAATAAAAAAAAAAATACCTTGTTTTATAAAGTATCCTCCCGACAAGTATTTCAGTGCGGACCTGTATTTGATCGTGAGGTCTTGGAGCACCGGCATGCCGTCACCTGATTCACGAGCCCGTTGTACTACATTAACAAAGGCACGAGGGGTTGGTTGCACTCGATTGGGAAACCGATCCGCATAAACATGTGCCATTTTTTATTTCGTTTGAGCCACGCAACAGACACCACTATTCACTCACGCGTTACCGACTGACACTGACTGTATACAAATGAATAAAATAATTGTAAAAACATCGTTCCAAATTCTTTCGCTTTTTTGTTTCCGATGCGATGAACCGATAAGGCGGATTATATCCGTTGTCGCCAAACACGAGCACATAATATTATTATTGAGACAGGGCGGTACTCAAACTTCCAAAGGGCTATAACTTTGTTACTTTAATTTTACCAGAAAAATGGTAAAGGAAAAAAACATTTCTTTTGATCAGATCTACTCACTGGTAAAATAAATGACTCAACTTCGAAGTCACCCTGTATATATATATATATATACATATATATATCAAATAATAAAGACATTAGAGCTGTTAAATAATGATATGAAAAACGTAATAAATTGGTTAAATGTAAATAAACTTAAACTAAACACAAACAAAACAAAATATATGCTAATAGGAAAATCTTTAGATCAAATTACGATGTCTTACAATTAATCATGAAAAAATTGTGCCCAAATATTTGGGCATATACGTAGACAGTAAATTAAAATTTGAAGGGCATATATTATTTCAAAGATATCCAAGAAAATAAATTACTTTTATAGAATTTCGCATAGCCTAAGCGCTTATTCTAAAAGAATTGTGTACAGCACATTCTTCCTCATTTGTTATATTGTTCGACTATTTTGCTCACTGCAAATGAAACTGTATTATCAAAATTACAAATATTACGAAATAAAGCTATGAGAATGATCTTAAATAAAAATAACTATACTAGAATAAATTTTATGCTGAAAGAACTACAATGGTTAAATATCAAAAATTTCATAGCCTACATGGTTTTCATTTTCATATTCAAGTTAAAAAATCATCTTTTACCAAATCACTTAGAAAATTTTATTGTATTGAACAATGAGTGCCACAACTATTCTACTAGAGGAAGTATAGACTTTCATTTACAAAACTGCAGTAGCAATATAACGAGCAAGGCAGTATTTCAAAAGGGTTTGTACGAATTTAATAAATTAAGTAATGATTTCAAGATGTGTGTCAGTTTGAAAATGGAAATTAAAAAAATATCTCATGGAAAACCAGAATTTATAGTAGTGAAATTTTGTATAACAAAATGTAGTCTTGAAGACATAATATATTTTGTGATATACTGTGTAATATGGATATTATGGACATTGCAGCATTAAAGCTAAATAAATCTGAAACAAACAAACAAACAAATATTGAAAAAACAATGTTTGATGAAAAATGGACTTACCTTTTTGCACCAAGTTCTTCAATTTCTCATAACTGGGTCAAATTGTACTTACGACTGCCACTAAGCTGTAGAAACATAATGACAATATTTCGGCATTAGTACTCAACATAACTTTGTATGATAATCTGCTGATTTTTTAAAGGTGCTTGGACATTCAGAAAAAGCAGAAAAACACCACGAAAATAGATGAGGACAAGAGAGCTGTAAAGAAATCAAAAGGGTGCAGTAATTCGTGTCCATATTTTCGACAAGCTGGTATAGAAAATTTGCGGAATGTAGCTCTAAGTAATGTATTGGATGTTGAAGATTTGGTTAGATGTGGAAGAGATTTGCAGGTACTTAAGGCGTATCACCAATGTAATGCGTAAAGAAAGTTATTTGTTGTCATGTGTTTTGTGGAAGAAAATGTAATGAAATAATAATATTGGAGGAAGTTGTTGAGCGTAGTATGGTTGAGTAACAAAAAATATCAAAAATGGCGGCGCCGTAGCCATTTTCGCGAGGCACATAAAATTTGGGGCGCTCTGCGACCCGGAATTTTGCTGCTGCAATTCTGGATATAGAAAAATGAAGATGCTTATAGCTGAAGGGGTAGAGGATTTTAAGAACATTGATTTTTGTCGAGTATTTGACTTGAAACGTTCTGTTTTGACAAAAAAGGTAACCGTTATTAAATTACCTTATCAAAAATCCCCTAAGTATTTTTCTTCAAAATCATACTCTAAACATATTGCCAAAATTCCAGTGAAAAGCATGTCGATTGTTAGAGATACGCTGCGTGAGGTTTCAAAAAACGCACTACGAAAAAATGCTGTGCCGCTATTTTTGAACATTATTTCATGATAATTTTTTTATTTTGTAACTTATATACAGCAGACGCTCGATGATGTAAACTACTTTAATCCACGTGTGGTTCACATTATCGAAATGTTTACATTAGCGAACGTGATTTATATAATATTTGATTTATTAAAAGAAACGTTTAATACATACTATTTATAACAAAATAAACAAAAATTCTAACAGCGATAAGTATTTTTTTAATGAGAAGAAAAATAATTAACAATTTTTGTCTGCGTAAATTTGCGCTTAGCACTGCCTTCCAATGCCTGCGCCCGTAATTTACGAAGAACTAAAATATCCGTGTATGAAACTTCTGTTCTTTCAGCCCAATCTTGGTTAAAAACTTGTATAGCTTGCGCGTGAGTCACTACACTGAGGATCGTCAATGGGATCGTTCTCATCATCCTCACTGTCCATATCCTCCTCCTTATCAGCATCATTCGTCTGCTTATCTTCGTTCCATAAATTAATATCAGCAGGAGTACAAACAATGTTGGGATTCACTGTTTTCAATAAATCAACAACATCCAATGACACACTAATAACATTATCATTATTGGATCGCAAACGTTCTCTAATTACGCTTAAGGGGACATCGTCTTCTTCATTATCTTCATTATTGGTACAAAAGAGATTGTTCCAACATTTTTGAATAGTTTGCTGGTTAAGTTCATTCCAGGCCATATGTAAATCTAAAACAGCTTCTCGTAATGTTACTTTTTTTAAAGCTTCAGATAAGTTTTCAGGATTCTTTGATAAGACAGACGAAAGTAGAAACTTCCTATAGTATAGTTTGGTGAGTCTTATTATATTCTGGTCCATCGGTTGAATTAACGGTGTTACGTTGGGCGGCATGTACATGACAAAAATTGACCCATCCCTGCTCCTCACTTGTTACTCGGGAGGATGACTTGATGCATTATCCAATAGTAACAACGCTTTTATTGGAAGCTTCTGCTGTTTTAGGAGACCTTTTACCTACAAATTGAAAACACAGCTTCAAATTATGAATAGAGCATTTGTGATAATTGATTGTCATACCTGAGGGACAAAGCACCTGTGGAACTATTTCAGGAATATACTGCTAGTCATCCAAGCGGTTTTTGAACAGTCATAATCAACAGGGATATTAACATTTTTAAATGAGCGCGGATTTTTTGCTTCCCCAATTACCAGTGGCTTTATTTTGTGTGAACCATTAGCATTAGTGCAGGCTAGAAACGTTATTCATTGTTTCTCCTGCTTTCTTCCCGGGGCAGACTTTTCAAATGATGCAGCATAGGATTTCTCTGGTAACATTTTCCAATAAAGGCCACTTTCATCTGGGTTGTAAATTTGTTCCATTCTTAAATCTAGCTCGGTAATTGTTTTCATCAATTTTTCTTTGAATGGTTGCACTAATTGTGGTTGTGCTGATAATTTTTCACCAGATATAGACAGCAGTCGAATTCCATATCTTGTTTTGAATCGTTGTAGCCAGCCATCACTAGCTACGAAATTTTCAGTTTCTTTCAGTTTTTCATTTAACAGTCTCGCTCTCTGTTTAAGTACTTCACCATTAACTGGGACATGATTTTCCCTTATAGAAGGAAATTTCCATTTTAGGTGCCTTCGCATTTTTTAAAGTTTTTCTTTTTCCCGGACCTCCAAATGTATTGCACGTTCTTTGTAAAATTTGAGTTTTCATACGCTTAATTTTACAGATTATTGCTTTCGATACTCCATATTTTTTTGCTCTCCCGCACCTAGTGCAACTTCGTCTATGATTTTCACTTTCTCACTCAACTTTAAACACTTTCTTTTATGGGATGTGGATGCCATAGTCGTAAAATATATTAACGCGTGCAATGTATTCACTTAAGTTCAAAAATGAAATACATACGTACGTATAAACGTATCCTAAACGATCATACGACTGTCCGAGTTTGTCGTATTTTATCGCAGAGGTGAATCCACTACACGCTACATCATAAATCAGGGACTCCCCGACGCCCGACATAAATCATCGAGGCTTCAGCATTTTACCGTCGCGCTGTTTCCGTGCGCCGAGAGTTGTTTACGTTATCGAGCGTACACATTGTTTACGTTATCGCGCGTTCCGTTTGATCCTACAGAACGAAGTTTGTGTTTACATTAGCGCAAGTTTTCATTATCCCGTGTTTACGTTATCGATCGTCTGCTGTATGTTCTTAATAATCCCCTCTAATATTATTATTTATTACCATTTCTCCTACCAAAAATACAAAAAATGCCATTTCAGACCGGTTGTTAAGAATATTTTTGATTTATCTTGTGTAACTCACTTTTCAATCGCATTATACGTATATGTAGGCAGGGGTCTTAACTTAATTAACTGTTATACCAATTTTTTGATATTTCTGGAAATATTTTTTTAGAAATTCTTTGTGTTTATTATTTCTTGAAATTGATATCTCCAATATTTGATACTTTATTTGCCAGGCTTGTCCGTACTATGCTAGCAGAAAAGCAGCCGAAGATGCAGAAGTAATTTTGATCCCATACAACACTCTACTACATAAAGCCACAAGAGAGGCTAATGGTATCAATCTGAAAAATAACATTATCATAATAGATGAAGCTCATAATCTTCTGGAGGCTTTAGCACAAATGCATGCTGCAGAAGTGTCGTATGGACATTTATATCATGCTCTCCACCAAATGCGATCTTATAAGGAAAAGTTTAGTAGTAGATTCTCAGCAAAAAATTTACTGATGATCAATCAGTTCATTTACGTGATAAATCAGCTTTTTTCTTTGATAGGTAAGCGTATTTATATACATGTACTAAGTGACATATAAATCCGAACACCCAGTTTAAATGGTTTTATTTTAATAAAATTTTGTATAAGTACTTAATGAAGCATAATAAGTAAATGATAAAAATTTCAAAATGATTGCACTGCTTTAAAGCCTTAAAACCTTTAATAATGTGTGGATGCACCCTGATGTGCTACGCATTCTCCAACGCTCCTAGGCATGCTTCTGATCAGGTGGTCAATGTCCTCCTGTGGTATCTCATTCCAGGCAACCACCAACTCCTCTCGAAGTGCTTCTAGAGTCTCAGGAGGACGTTGCAAATTGAGCAATCTCCTACCCATCATATCCCACACGTGCTCAATTAAGGATAAGTCGGGAGATCTTCGTGGCCATGGTAACAATGTGACATCATTATGTTGAAAGAAGTCTATTGTGACTCTTGCAACATGTGGTCGGGCATTATCTTGTTGGAAAGTTGGATCTGCCAGGGTGTCAAGATAGGGTAAAAGATGGGGTTCTAGAACTTCGTGGATATAACGCTGCGCGTTCATGTTACCTCTGATGGAGATTAAAGATGACCTGGAACCATAAGCTATAGCACCCCAAACCATAACTCCAACAGTGTGATGAACATGTCTTTCAACAAAAAACTGTGGATTCCTCCTTTCACCAAGTCGCCTTCTAACCCTGGCACGACCTTCGTGCATGCCTAAACAAAATCGAGACTCGTCACTAAAGACAATACTGTTCCATTCCTGATCCCAGAGTGACCGTTGTCTGCACCACTCAAGGCGATTACGTCGGTGTTCTCGAGTTAAAGGGAGGACCCAGTGTGGCCGGTATGAAAACAAGCCAAAACTTCTCATTCGTCGGTAAACACTTCGCATGCCAATAGGTCTTCGGTGTTCTGCAAACCATTCATTTGCAATGGACCTGGTAGTGGAGAAACGGTCCCTTAAGGCCAATAATCTTAGGCGGCGATCTTTACGGTCTGTTGTTCTACGGCGGCGTCCAGTGCCCCTTGCTCTTTGCGTACGGCCTTCTCGAAGCCATGCCTGACAACACCTAACCACAGTGTCTACACTTCTTTGCACTCTAACTGCAATTGCCCGAAAAGAAAGTCCAGTTTCCCGAAGTCCCACTATACGGCCCCTATCAAACTCACTAAGTTGACGAAATCGTACAGGTCTCCGTACTCTAGGCATCGTAACCGATCGTAAAGGATGTCAAGAACCAAAATCCGCCAACGTTGATTCTTTACTGCGGCTGAAATATTCATTTTTAGAGCGTTAGTGAATTAAAAAAAAGCAGTATAAAAACCGGAATGTCCAACTGATAAGGCTGAAAATTTTTTCACTTGTTATTTACAGTAAGATAAATACATTCACCAACTTTTATTAAAATAAAACCATTTAAACTGGGTGTTCGGATTTATATGTCACTTAGTATATATCTTTCATGTAAGCTAGTAGTAGTGTTCGAAGTTTGAGATGTTATGCTGCTGTCAGCTGCTGCTTACAAATGGACGTCATAACTCATTAATATATGGTTCAAACATGGCGGAAAGCGTTTTCGCCTGCCCGAGAAAACTACATTTTTATATTAAAGTTTTCCGGTGTTTTAGGTCGGAATATTAACTATTTAAGACCTACTTAAAAAACTAGTCTATTGTCGCCACTAATGCTGATCGAATTTTTAATGTAGGTTCCATTTCAACTCATGTTTATTGATTTGAATGATTGTCAACTAAAATAAAAGCAATGCAGTGATCCTCTTGTAGTGTGTTTTAACATCTTCCCTACAAGTCGCTATGGTAATATCAGCAACCGTAGCAAATCTATTTTATTGAAATTTATTACAGCTAATTAACGGCTACCAGTGGCGCCAAAAATCGTCTTCAGTCAGTTAGCTGTCATATATTTTGGTTTGGCGGTTGCAGAGGATGTCGCTTTGGCGTCCAAATAAAGTGAGGTCAGAGCAGTATCATGCCTTTATATCCTCCTTAATTTTCATAGTATTTTCTCTCCTCCAGAAAGGCTGGAGTATTTTTAAATTTCTACTGTTCCGTGTCAGCGTCAGCGCTCTCCTATTGTGAGGTTATATTCACTTTTGGAATTGTAGGAAATTTCAGGCTGATAAAACACGATAAAAATCAAAAGCATGAACAATTTGATGCAAATAGATATTTGTAACATAATCTCAAAATAGAGTGCTGACATGGAAGGGTAGGATTCTAGAAATATCCCTGCCTTTCTGGAGGTCAGGAAAAACACTGAGAAACAAGAAGGCCACAAAGGCGTCATACAACTGTAGAAATGACTGAGGATACGGCCTTTAAAGGCTGTTATCATTGGGTGGTTCAAACAACAGCCTACAGTATATTCAGATAAGAGATAGACCGGACATAAACAAGACCACGTGATTATCGAACGCTGTAACATTCGGCAGGGACGTATTAAGAGTCACGCAGTACATATTTTAGATAGTAGATGCTGCTTTGCGTAACTTTGTAGTAAATTAGCACAATTCGATGTGTATACGATTGGTGATGGATATAGGATCATGTGGGGGTGGGGTAAGAAATATATAATGATGTAAATATACATAAGGGTTTCAAAATTTTCGCTTCGATTTCCAGCTTCGGATGCCGTCTGATGTTTGGTGAAATACAGTCGAATATAATCTCAAAATGGCGTTTAAATTAGCCTAAATTAAAAATAATCGTATATCTCTTAAAATTGCTTTTAGAATATTGATTAGTATATTTTTTGATTTCTAGGTAAATATGTAACCAAATTAAAACGTTCAAAACGTAAAAAAATGTGCATGGTTGAACATTGTCAGAAAGTAGATTCTTGAATAGGTTTTGCCAAAATGGGTTCAGAAATGTCAATAATTAATTAAAAAATACAGTAGCTTTATAATTACTTATAACTTACTGAATTTGATGAACGACATCTTTTATTGGAAAGATGAGCTTGATGAGCTTTCATCATCGCTACTGCCTGAAGCACCAACGTCAATAATGAATGGCTCGACTTGTTCCTCTAAAATATTGTCCAGTTCCCACATTCACTTTTCAACTTTGTCTTTCACGTGCTTAATACAGTTTTCCCATTTTTGCGCTGTTATTAATTCTAGTGCTTCTTTGAAAAGTCCTTTGAGGTCACAAAATTTAAAAGTTGTATTGTGCTTAGCTATATAATTTTTAACCTCTGCCCATATGAGCTCAATGGGATTGAGCTCGCAATGGTATGGAGGTAAACGGAGCACAGTTTTATTTTGACTTGCTGCCATTTCGTCAATGGCGTATTTTTGATATTCCGCCTTGTGATCCTTGACAATTCTTAATAATTGTACTTTCAGCATTGCTTCTTCAAAGTTGATATTTTTCGAGCGGAGCCAATTTTGAACATCAACTTTCCTTGAAGCCGTTGTTGGGACCTTCTCCATTCTTCGAGAATGATAAGGCGCATTATCCAACACAATTACTGCGTTTTCCTCTAAGTTCGGTAAAATTTTTGAAAACCACTGTTCAAACGATTCGCCATTCATTTCCTCGTGGTAATCTCCAGTTTTCTTAGACTCAAAGCACCACAGACCGTCAACAACAAATCCATCCTCACTGCCAATATTGCAGATAATGAGCCTTTTCCCTTTACCTGGAAATCGAAGTACTAACTGGTGTAGATTTATTTCAATAAGCGAACCTTTTTCAAATGTTTTCATCACATTCAGCGAAAAAACATTGAGACATGAGTATCAGATTGCTATAATTGGGATTATTTAGTCATATTGAAAGAAAGAATATTGAACGTCGTATGATTACTCAGCGCTTCACAATTTAATTTAAAGTTATAAACCTCTAAAAAATGAATGATCAGGAACCTGAAATACGCGCAAATATTAATATTAACAAATTATAACTTTATAAAGCTTAAAGTATGAATTAAAATGATTAGAAATATTAGGAACGGTACACAATATAAAACTTAGTAACTTTTTTTAAGTTTATAATATTCGACATATTTTAAGATTATATTAAAAAATTATTGAAATATCGAAAACACATAAAAACATGGCTTAAAAAAGTTCTAACAAATGAAAATGACAATAAAACATCCACGCATTTTATCGAAAGTTATAAAAGTTTTGTTACTTGTAATATGTTTTATCTGCCCCCTGGAATTAATGTTTAGAACCTTGTTCCCAAGGTTTGAAAAACATCCGATTGTTGTCTATTACTCGTATTTACCTGCTGGATTTTTTAATCCGGTGGACAGTCCATCTAGAAAGGCCCTCCTGGATGAAGTTACAGAATCATCAACCCATACTTTACTTGTAGTGTGTCCTGCGTTTACCCATGTTTCATCAAGGTAATAAATCTTCCTGTTTTGATTTCTATATTTCCCAATTTTTGTTAAATAATCCCTCCTCCATAGCACAATTTCTTCTCTATCCAGTAGTAAACTATTACGACCCCGTTTTTTCCATTTGAAATTTAAATGCTTCAGTAACGCATGGAAAGTTGATCGTTTGAAATTTGGCAACGTTGTATCTCCATTTACCTCCTGCAGTACTTTATCTATAGTAGGTATTTCATTCCTAAAGAAGAATTCGTGCACTTTCCTCCTAATCGCATGCTTATCAGCTTCATCCAATGATTTAACAATACTTTTGCGATGTTTACTGGTCATTGGCTCAGAAAAGGTGTGATTTTTTTTGTATTGTCATAACACATTAAACACTGATGCGCGACACACCCCAACTTTGTGAGAAACCTTCACAACAATTTCTTTGATGGTTGATGCCTCGTTCTCCTCGCGCTCGATCTTATATATATTCAAAATGACCTCTTTCATTTCTGCACTCAGGTGTCTTTTTTTAGAGCGTTTCCTAGGTGGACTAAAGGAGTTTACAACTTCATCGGCAGTATCTGTACTACTGGGCATTTTGCGCAAGCAGTTGATAACAATAACAATCAATAACAAGGTATAACAATAACAACGACAAACTCAACAACTTAATAAGATAACAAACGAAAACGTCCAAAGAAATATCAAATTGCAATGATGCACACGACATACGTAACACGTCTGAACCTGAATGTGACTCTGCCTTGATACGACTGCTCTGCCGCTCGGCTTAGGCATTTAATTGCGAATTGACCAATGAGGGCTCCTGTTTTACGTCGAGACGGCGGCGTTAGCGTGAAAATCACCCGAACCTTTTGTTTACATCCGGTCTATCTCTTATCTGAATATACTGTACTGTAGGCGTCTGATCCTGCAGCTCGTAGTTACAACTTCTGGGTAGCTTTAGCAACAGATCAGTAGTTTGAACATAGTAGCGTATGGACGGTCATCCTTAAACCACTTCTATTTCTATCTATTGGTAGTATATTAAATCAGGGTATTTTGCAGATAACGAAAATAGTAGAATTGAAATATTCACTATAGACAACTTCGTATCAGCTGCAAAAATTGACAACTATAATATGTTTAAACTAGTATCCTTTTGCAAAGACTCCAGATTGGCGCATAAGGTATGATATTTCGACATATACTAATATAATTTCGTATAGGCCACATAATACATAGGTTATGTATGTTCATATTTTATATTACTTCACATACCTACTACATACATCACTGTTACTCTTTTAGATAAGAAGTTACAGCATAAAGTATCCTGTTGATGAGTCTACCATTAATAAACCCAAGACTCCAGGATTAAAGACTTTTCTAGCAAGCATAGAAAATAAGAAGAATAATTCCAAAACTCCTCAACCTGAGAAAGAGGCACCAAAAATACCCGTTGTAGGAAACCCTATGCTGGCTGTGATTTCATTTTTGGAAGCTTTGACTAACGCATGTGAAGATGGAAGAATACTTTTGAAAAAGGGGATTGAAAAGCCACAATACAAGTTTCAATTCATGCTATTGAATCCGTCATCAAGATTCGAGGATATTGTTAAAGAAGCCAGGTCGATAATTGTAGCAGGAGGTATGGATTACGAGCCCCTTCCCACTTCAGTTGGCCCACTTCAAGATTTGTACCAACATATGCCTTTATAAACTAAACATGACGAAACTATTTACTTCTAAAACAACTTATTTTCTCAAAAACATTTTAGATACACTCTAGTCGTAAAAATACATATTTGAAATCACTTAGACCTATAACTAATAGAACATCTGAACAAATAAACAATGTGCGAATAAATGCGCGAAGTTAACAAAGCAACAATTGAAAGATTACCATTGGGTAACGTTTTCTTATAAAAAAAGTGAAGTAAAAACTCTGAAGTTGCACAACTTGTTTATAGGCCAAAGAAAAGCCACTATTAACTCCACTGCAAAAGAAAAATCGGCTTAGATGGGCTAAAGAACATAGACAATGGATACCTCAACAATAGTGTGCAATGCAATGGAGTGATGAGGCCCGATTCGAAGTTTGTGTTGGTGACAGTCGCAGTAGAGTTATTCGCAAAAAAATGAAGCATTCCATGTTGACTGTCTGAAGAGAAAAGTGAAATTTCCAGCATCCATTATGGTCTGGGGCAGTATGTCATCAAAAGGAGTAGGAAAACTTCATTTTATTGATGGAAATGTGGATACAACCAAATATTTGACAATTTTAGAAGAATCGCTTTTACCAGTGATGGAAGAATGTTTGACATCCGGCCAAGATTTTGTGTTTCAGCAAGATGGTGCAGCGTGCCATACCTCAAAAAAGGCTATAAAATGGATGGAAGAAAATAATGTACCACTTTTGAAATGGGTTTCTAGCAGACCAGATCTGTCACCTATTGAAACTTTGTGGCACGAGATGAAAAAGGTTATTCGACAACATCCTGCTCATACGATCACCGAACTGAGACAAAAGCTTCAAGAAATATGGCATTGTTTTACACCAAATTTTTGCCAAAACTTGGTTAACACTATGCCCCAAAGAATTTCAGCCGTAATAAAAAATAAAGGTGATGTTACCCAATGGTGATCTTTCAATTGTTGCTTCGTTAACTTCGCGCATTTATTCGCACATTGTTTATTTGTTCAGATGTTCTATTAGTTATAGGTCTAAGTGATTTCAAATATGTAGTTTTTACGACTAGAGTGTATCTAAAATGTTTTAGAAATAAACAGTTTCGTCATGTTTAGTTTATAAAGGCATATTTTGGTACAAATCTTGAAGTGGGCCAACTTTAATGTTGACTAAACGCTCTCATGACAAAACATGGCGATTAAGGATTAAGCTCTTCCATGATGCACTGGACGTACAAAAATGAGTGATCCAAATCTCTACCGAATTGCAACGTTGCATTGTCGCCTAAGCATCTAAATAGTGGCGAAATAATAATAATAATAAATAGTTTTTATTGTCAAGATAAGCACACAAAAAAATACATAGAACTTCAACAAACTCTAGCTGCTTTCCAAATATGTAAACAGTATTCAGAAATTCCGATATACAGGGTGTTTTTTTCGGTGAAAGAAATGGCCTAAATATATAAAACTCTATTTGTAAAACCACAACAATGGAATATTTTAGATTTGCACTTATTTTCAGGTACCATGAAGCCAATTGCCGAGTTTAGGGATCGATTGTTGATTAATTCAGGAGCTGCGCCTGAGAGAATTGTTGAATTTTCATGTGACCATATTGTCCCTCCCGAAAATATTCTGCCTATCGTAATGACGAAAGGCGCTGATAAGGAAAGTTTGCTGTTTAATTTCGAAAAAAGAATGTCTATGGCAAGTAAACTTTGAATAAAATCAGATTCAGGATTTATGTATATGATAGGTTACAATTTTTATTTGATTTTAACAAATGTGGCATTTTCATGAGAGCGTTGGGCGTGATAGTAGATCACGTGGTCCATACATGCCCATCTGGCGGCCAGTGAAACATTGAGATTCATGAGTTGGAGCTTGAAATTTGAATATCAACATTGCCGCTTGAGTTATTGGATTCTTGCATGATATCATGTAAAAATATTTACATACTGGTAATAGAATGGTAACAATATATTTTTTTAAAAGTAAATCTATCTAATATCAGTAATTTTGCAGCTCTACTTGGCCAAGCGCTCTTTCATAGCTTTTCTGTTGATATCTTATCCATTGATATTTCCTTATACATTCTTGGAATTCCAAATCTCATTTAAGCTATTTATTCGTAAACTGTCACCTCATACAGTGTCAACCTTGATATCAAGTTCTTTGTCATTTTTTTAGGGTGGCAGTTTGAAGAAGATTATTCTACAAGTATGTAAAGTAGTTACAGGTGGCATAGTGGTATTTTTTCCATCATACCAATATGAAAACTGGATTTGGCAGCAGATGAAGGACCTGCAGTTTGGAAGAGCGGTGTTTAGGGAGCCGCAAAGTGCGTCAATGGTGGATTCTGTTTTACAGAAATACGAAAATGCTATTAAAAGGCCGAATAGTCAAGGAGCATTATTGTTCAGTGTTGTAGGTGAGCAACGAAGTTTTAATTTGTGTGAAGGATGTACAGGGTGTCCCAATATTCCGTGGACATAGAAGTATCATGTATTTTTAGACTCGAAATACGTCGATTTGACATGATTTGCCTATATGCAAAAGAGCTTCGTTTCTCTGTTAGAGGGTGTCAAAGTTTTGTTTAAAACACATTTTTTCAGATATTTTTGGCACCGATAGTTCGAGTTGAATGGAATTTGGTACACACGTATTTTTCTAGACGTTCTAATATTTGACTTTTACGAAGGACCCGAAAGGGTTAGAGAAGGGTCGAATCTCTCCTTACCTCTTCATAAATTATAGCATAACTTTTTTCAACTGTACTAATGACTCTGATTTTTCTTTTATATTCTGTTATAAAAACATGCCATCTAGAATAGTTTTCGAGAAAAACATGTTTTTCGGAGCTGGTATTCTAAAAAACTCCTTTATTACATCAAGTAGTAAAATCTAGTAGACATCTAGTTGGTGGAAATGTGGGATGTCATGTCAGTATTAGATTATTTTAGACAACAACGATGAATTCGATGATTGTTCTTAAATAATTTCTTCAAAGACTCTTTCAACATCTGACAGAACATTAATTTATCGGCCGCATATTGGTGTACAACTCAAAATTCTCAACTTTCGAAACAGGAGTTATGCTAGAACACTTCAGTTTTGTTCGAAATTCGCCATATTTTAAACAGTAATTTATCAGGATTAATGTCCTTGGTCTAATAATATCAAAACATTCACCCTTTTAGACAAAATCTCACTCTTATTTTGATTTGATTTAAATTTTGCTGTAATCTTCTTAAGACGATTAATGTTTATTGTTCTAAACTCACTGAATAATAATAATAATATTTATTCGCCAAAATACAAAAAAATGAGCAAACAAATATGAAAAAACCATAAAAGGCATCGCCTGTGTGTGGATTATATCACAATAACTAACAATCAATCATATGTGTATAACAATTATTGTTAATTCTGAAAAGTATTAATATAATTGGAATTTTGTAGTTTTAGTTTCGAGCTACATATCATTTGCAAAATTTTACATGGATAGTTACGTAAATAATTTTCAGGTTAATGATATCAATACAAATATTGCTCAAGACGCAAATGCTCTTAATAAATGGTTAGAATATTCTAATTTCAATGTTAGCTTATATCACATGAATATTCGAAGCCTAAACCAAAATTTTGACTGTTTTAATATCTTCCTAACTACAATTAATCACAAATTTGATATAATAATATTAACAGAAACTTGGAAAATTAATGATGTATCTTTGTTCTGTTTGGAAGGTTATGATACGCTTTAGAATAATGGTACGTACAACCAGAATGATGGGGTGGTAGTATATGTAAGAAATGATATCAACTACAGATGTGATTTTGTTAAATTTGATGACGGTATCACAGTATTGGATTTGATATTGAGAATTAATAACAAAAGTATAAAAGTCACATCTGTCTATCGACCACCATCATCAATCCCTTATACATTTGTAGAAAATCTTGAAAAATTTTTGTTAGATAACAAAAATGCCATACAGTCACACCACATCATAATAGGAGATATGAATATTAATATACTCCAACATACCAAATTAGTAAACAAATACCTCACTGAAATGCAGAGCAATGGATTCATATCAAATATAAATTTACCAACAAAAGTAGTCAATAATATTTCCAGTTCTTGCATTGATCATTGTTTCATCAAAAATTTTTCAAATTTCTTTCGGTACATACCGTTAATTGTTGAAAACCATATTACCGATCATTTACCCACTGTAATACTTATATCATCACCAGAAAAAAATAAAAGTAGATCCATCTCCAATAATGAAACAGTGAAATTTAGGTGTTTTGTCGATAATAAAAAACTACTTGCAAATATCAAATTAGAATGGTGGACAGCAGTGTACTGTGCTACGAATGTTAATGATGCTGCAAACACACTCATTGAACGCATAAAATATTTAATTGAATGTAGTACAAACAGAGTTAAAATTAAACATTTTGACAGAAGCAGGAATCCCTGGATAACTAAAGGTTTGATAAAGTCTGCCAACAAAAAAGAGGAACTATACAAAATAATGAAAGCATCGCCATGTGCAGATACCTCCCATAAATATAAAGAATATAAAAATATTTTTATCAATCTAGTTAGAGAAGCAAAACGCCAATTCTATCTAAAAAAATTACAAGATGCCAAATCTGATCCAAGAAAACTGTGGTCAGTTGTCGATCACTTAACTAACAAAGACGTTCAAGAAAAACCAAATATTGATGAAATTAAGAATCATGATGGAACAATATTAACAGATAAACGACAAATATCCGATGCATTCTTAAATTTTTTCACTAATGTTGGAGAAAATTTAGCATCCAGTATTAAAAAAATGGTTTCGAACGAAAAGTTCACAAAAACCCAACTTCCCAATTCATTCTTTTTAGAAAGCGTTAGTCCGATTGAAGTACAAGAAGCTGTCCTATCACTTAAAACCAAAAAAAGTCCTGGTATAGATGGTATCAAAGCTGAGCATTTAAAAATAATAGCCTACGACTTAGCCGAACCACTTTCTTACGTCATTAATTGGTGTTTCCAATCTGGAATTTGTCCTGATGCATTTAAAACAACTGTTATTACTCCTGTTTATAAAGGCGGTGACAGAATGGAAACATCAAATTATAGACCCATATCAGTACTATCGAATATAGCCAAAATTTTCGAAAAATTACTACAAAAAAGGATATTACAATTTTTGGACAAAAACAAAATTATATGTTCTGACCAATATGGATTTAGAAAAGGAAAATCTACTACAGATGCAATTTTGGCTGCAATGGATGAAATTAACTCTAATGTCAACAAAAAGATACCTACTATTGGTATCTTTGTTGATCTAAAAAATGCCTTTGATACGGTTAACCATGTCGAGCTTCTGAAAGTTATGGAAAGATTGGGATTTAGGGGAGCGTCACAAATCCTTTTAAAAAATTACCTTTCAAGTCGGGCACAGACTGTCAAAATCACTAACACTTACAGTAAAAAAATGTACATCAAGTGTGGTGTGCCTCAAGGAACAGTACTAGGCCCACTATTATTTAGTCTCTACTTAAATGACTTATTCAAAATTAACAGTTCTGGAAAGATTATATGTTTTGCAGATGACACCCTCGTATTATATAAAGCTGATGACTGGAGCACACTGAAGCAAATAGCTGAAAAGGATTTTATAAGGATCATTGACTGGTTTGATACTAAAATTTTAATAGTTAACTTCAAAAAAACAAAATTTATTACGTTTACTACTTACTATTCAAAATTTTTACCTACCTTCGAACAAATTTCCGTTAATTATCATGGCCAAAAGACCAAAATCGATAGAGTTAACACTTTGAAATATCTTGGAATATTTATAGACTCACATCTAAGGTGGGATAACCATATTAAATATGTTATCAAAAAAATTAGAAATGTTGCCTATAAACTCAAAATGCTTGCTAACATTCTTACAGAAAGTTATCTGCGAATCCTATACCATGCCTTAGTTGAAACCCATATAATATACGGCATCACAGCCTAGGGTGCCGCCTGCAAGACATATATTTCTGACCTGAATATAGCACAAAAAACTGTTTTGAAAGCCATTTTCCATAAGCCAAGATTATATCCAACGAACAACTTATATCAAGAAACAGGGATACTTGATACAAGACAACTTTATTTCTTACATGCCACCACCTTATACCATAAGTATTGTAATAAAAAGAAAAAATCCTATAAACACGAGCATAACACACGATTTCGAATAGGCTCATCTAATATCCAAAGACCACACAAAACATTATTCAAAAAATCATTTAAATTCTTAGCAGCTAAATTATATAATGTAGTACCAAACGAAATAAAGATACTTAATTTTGGAAAAAAAATTAGAAGAAAATTGAAAGACTGGGTTAGTAATGTGCAGCGAATGACTATACATAATTATATAGAAAACTAAAACTACAAAATTCCAATTACATTAATACCTTTTAGATTTAACAATAATTGTTATACACATATATGATTGATTGTTAGTTATTAAGATATAAACCACACACAGGCGATGCCTTCTGTGGTTTTTTCATATTTATTTGCCCATTTTTTGTATTTTGGCGAATAAATATTATTATTATTATTATTATTATTATTATTATTATTATTATTATTATTATTATATAATTATGTATAGCCAGTCTTTCAATTTTCGTCTAATTTTTTTTCCCAAAATTAAGTATTTTCATTTTGTTTGGTACTACATTATATAATTTAACTGCTAAGAACTTAAATGATTTTTTGAATAATGTTTTGTGTGGTCTTTGGATATTAGATGAGCCTATTCGAAATCGTGTGTTAGGCTCGTGTTTATATGATTTTTTTTCATTACAATACTTACGGTGTAAGGTGGTGGCATGTAAGAAATAAAGTTGTCTTGTATCAAGTATCCCTGTTTAATGATATAAGTTGTTCGTCGGATATACCCTTGGTTTATGGAAAATGGCTTTCAAAACAGTTTTTTGTGTTATATTCGAGTCAGAAATATATGTCTTGCAGGCGGCACCCCAGGCTGTGATGCCGTATATTATATGGGTTTCAACTAAGGCATGGTATAGGATTTGCAGATAACTTTCTGTAAGAATGTTAGCAAGCATTTTGAGTTGATAGGCAACATTTCCATTTTTTTTGATAACATATTTAATATGGTTATCCCACCTTAGATGTGAGTCCATAAATATTCCAAGATATTTCAAAGTGGTAACTCTATCGATTTTGGTCTTTTTGGCCATGATAATTAACGGAAATTTGTTCGAAGGTAGGTAAAAATTTTGAATAGGATGTAAATGCAATAAATTTTGTTTTTTTGAAGTTAACTGTTCAAATTTTAGTATCAAACCAGTCAATGATCCTTATAAAATCCTTTTCAGCTATTTGCTTCAGTGTGCTCCAGTCATCAGCTTTATATAATATGAGGGTGTCGTCTGCAAAACATATAATCTTTCCAGAACTGTTAACTTTGAATAAGTCATTTAAGTAGAGAGTAAATAATAGTGGGCCTAGTACTGTTCCTTGAGGCACACCACACATGATGTACATTTTTTTACTGTAAGTGTTAGTGATTTTGACAGTCTGTGCCCGACTTGAAAGGTAATTTTTTAAAAGGATTTGCGACGTTCCCCTAAATCCCAATCTTTCCATAACTTTCAGAAGCTCGACATTTTTAAGCAAGGCATTTTTTAGATCAACAAAGATACCAATAGTAGGTATTTTTTTCTTGACATTAGAGTTAATTTCATCCATTGCAGCCACAATTGCATCTGCAATAGATATTCCTTTTCTAAATCCATATTGGTCAGAACATATAATTTTGTTTTTGTCAAAAAATTGCAATATCCATTCTTGTAATAATTTTTCGAAAATTTTGGCTATATTCGGTAGTACTGATATGGGTCTATAATTTAATGTTTCCATTCTGTCACCCCTTTTATAAACAGGAGTAATAACTTTTGTTTTAAATGCATCAGGACAAATTCCAGATTGCAAACATCAATTAATAGGCTATTATTTTTAAATGCTCAGCTTTGATACCATCTACACCAGGACTTTTTTTGGTTTTATGTGATAGGACAGCTTCTTGTACTTCAATCGGACTAACGCATTCTAAAAAGATTGAATTGGGAAGTTGGGTTTTTGGGAACATGTCTTTTTTTAATATTGGCTGCTAAATTTTCTCCAACATCAGTGAACAATTTTATAAATGCATCGGATATTTGTCGTTTATCTGTTAATATTGTTCCATCATGATTCTTAATTTCATCAATATTTGGTTTTTCTTGAATGTCTTTGTTAGTTAAGTGATCGACAACCGACCACAGTTTTCTTGGATCAGATTTGGCATCTTGCAATTTCTTTGGATAAAATTGGCGTTTTGCTTCTCTAACCAGATTGATAAAAATATTTTTATATTCATTATATTTAAGGGAGGTATCCGCATCTGGTGATGCTTTCATTATTTTGTATAGTTCCTCTGTTTTGTTGGCAGACTTTATCAAACCTTTAGTTATCCAGGGGCTCCTGCTTCTGTCAAAATGTTTAAGTTTAACTCGGTTAGAACTATGGTGCATTATAATCTCATTTAATGAAACATTGATTGGGATGCCCGTCAATAATTGATCTTACAATGTTGTTGATACTTTCTATTTAATAGGTATTCATTCGATCTGCTATTTTTTCATTTGTCATTACCCCATCGTCGAAGTTCATTTTAGTTGATGTGCAATGTTTTTCTATGTTTTTCACACGTTTGCTATTATTTTCGCTCTTATCAATTTTGGTATTGTAATATTTTTTCATCTCGTAGACCTGCTACAGATTGGTTTCTTGTGTATTCTAGCCAATCATTTTCACCTGCAGCAAGCATACAATTTTTATAATTGTAGTCTCTTTTAATTTAGAATCCTTGAATGTCTGTGAAAACGAAGATGTTGGATTTTTCCTTTTATAAATTGTTGTCTTGACGGTAGCTTCTTTATGCAAAGATTCCAGTCATATCTTGCAGTAAGAGAGCTTCTCGTAATTTTACATATTTAATATTAGTAATTTCTTCCACTTTGTTAGCATCCAATATACTTTCAACTTCAAAACATATCCATGAATGATCACTGATTTTAGGAGTATGTATGTTTTGCGATTAAATTTTGTTCAATCGTTCTTATCAAATTTATAATTGTTCATGATTGATTTGTAATTCTGATGTGATCATAGACTTTTTGCCATTTCGACTAATTGTTTTAATGTATAGGTGGAAAATTAAGTGAAGGCCTCAACTTCAGTGACGATTTAGGTAGATGTGTTGTAGTTGTTGGATTGCCTTACCCCAATGTCAAAGCAGTGGATTTGAAAGAGAAGATGGAATACTTGGACAGAACTGAGGTGAGTATACGAACTTTCAAGATACGTACTGTAGTTATTCTTTAATTCTCTAAATTTATTGTATTGATGCAAATAACCAAGCAGTTAATGTCAATAGAATTTTAGTAGTCAAAAGTCAAAGAACAGAAACAAATATGAATTATTTTGGAAAATTTGTTGCTTAAGATTTATTTAGCATGATTGCTAGAATTGCATTCTTTTTAAAAAATTACAATAATTACGTAATATACAAAGATGTAGAAAAACAAAAACTTGCGTCTCTGAGAATGTTTACTGTCATTGGAATGTTCCATTAATTTTCTTTTAAATATCTTTAAAATACAAGTAGACTTTATATCATTATTTAGTGTATTAAATTCAAGTAATCCCTTCTGAAATATTGGTTTGCTAGTTATATTAATATTACAACTTTGTAAATGGGTATCTATATTTCTTGTATAAGAATTGTGGAAATGATTATTCAATTCTATGTAATATTGTAGACAAAATATGTTTTTTTTATTTTAAATATGAAAATAAAGATCAAATATAATAAGAAATTTTTATGTAAAGCTTGAATGATTTTGTTCGGGGTTGGTGTTGCAGCGAAGCACTATGTTAGATGAACGCCTAAATTGGAAATAGACATTTTTGAGATTTGCTTAGCGGTGCGCCTGTGGCCTGTCCATAAAATGCGTCGATCTCTTCCCGCGTAAGTGTCTATTTATGTTGCTATATTGAATTCGTTTTAATCACAGAGCTTCTGCACTACACGTGAATATGTAGGTATACTTTATCTGAAGTCACTTGAAACACTGTGAAATACCGGGTGCGTTTTATATATCTATATTTAACACGCTCTGTTGCTGCAAAAATCGCCAAATTTCGCAGCAAATATATATAAGATCAAAGGCAGTTTCACCGGTATACGTGGAGTAAAGCACGCCTATGCGTGGACATAGCCAATGAGAAAGCGTGTATTTCAGAGCTCCGAACAAGTGCAGGTGGCTACTGAAAATTGAAACAGTTTAGCCAGTGCCGTGTAGCGGTGAATAAACGTGTTTTCTTTAGTCTGTCCGTGTTTTTTCATAGATTTTATTAGTTTGTGTGTTTTTGACTTTTGAATACTCCGTTTACTTGTTGATTTAATTGTTGTGTTGATTGTTCTTGTGTGTCCTAAATATGGCTCTTTGGAGACCTTGGGAAAATGCTCCAAGCCACGAGGAGATGGTTGATGAACCTGTGCAGGCAGAATTCTTTCATAAAGATTTAGTGGAACAGACCCAAAGAGTAATCCTAAATATGTATGATTGTCTGAAAAACGAAAATCCAGATTCCTCGCAAAATCAAATTTTAAACAGAATTTGTATCCTGACAAAAATCAGTCGGTCTACCATTTATCGGGTTATAAAAAGGGGAGATGTAGTCAACCATTCCTTCCACAGAAAGCGCATAGGACAAAAATTAAAAAGAATAGACGTGGGTTTTCAGGAAGATATTCGTCGTATAATATAAAGAAAATTTGGTGCCCACGTTGGAAATGATACGGGATAAATTAAAAGATTATCCTGAAGACTTTTATAATTACAAATGCTTAGACTCACTGCACTGTATTGTAAAACTGTGTGGTTTTCAATACAAAAAATTAGATAAAAGAATGGTGATTATGGAGTCGTCTCGAATCGTTGAATTGCGCCAAGAATTTTTGCACAAAGTTAAAATCTATAGAGAGCAGAAAAGAAATCTGATTTACCTGGATGAAACGTGGTATGATACCCATGATGTTGTGCAGTACGGCTGGGTTGACGACAGCAACAAGTGCATTTTAAATGCACCATGCAACCGTGGAAAACGAATCATTATTCTCCATGCTGGCAGTGAAAATGGATTTATACCTAATGCCTTGCTGTTATCTGCCAAAAATATCAAAGAATCATGTGCCGACTATCATGAGGACATGACCTCCAACTTATTTGAAAAGTGGATAGAGCAGCAGTTAATACCAAACATTTCCCCAAATTAAGTGATTATTATGGGCAATGCGCCATACCATTCCCGACAGAAAAACAAAATTCCGAATACAGGCACAAAAAACAAGACATTATTGATTTTATGAAGGATAAGGGAATGGAAATACCACAAAAATCAACCAAAGCCATATTATTGGATCTTATTAAAAGACAAAAATTTGAAAAAGAGTATGTTGTTGACAATCTGCTTCAGCAAAATGGCCATGAAGTATTACGTCTACCTCCCTATTACTTCATTTTTAACCCGATTGAGTTGGTCTGGGCTGCTTTAAAAAAAAAAGTAAGAAAACATAATCAGACCCCTCAATTAAGTGAATCGCTATTGGCCACAATAAGAGACGCAGTATCTCATATTGCTGCCACAGACCTATGGAAGCAGTGTTCTAGGCATATTATTGAAAAAGAAAATGAATATTGTGTTTTGCCTCCTGTAAATCCCGTTGTAATTCCTCTACAAGATGACTCTAGCGACAGCTCCGAAGGCGAGGATGATATATAAATACCTATAATGTAAGTCTTTATATACCTTTTATATACCTACCTGCTATGTAAATATTTGCCTATGTCAAACGTTGGAATTCTGTAATTTTTCCATTTCTTAACTTTCAGTCAACATAAATTAAACTCCCAATATAACTATTTTTTATCCCAAATCAAAAAAATAAGAAGATAGTAAAATCCATTTATTGTGATATAAAAACATTATTATTATCGTTCTAAATAAATGACCGCACGCCTATGATACGTCATGAAATTACAAAGGACGCGCCGACCAAAGGTTTTTATGCTATTTCAAGTGACTTCAGATAAAGTATACAGCCCTGTATTCCTGTACTTGTTTAGTACAAATATACATTATCAAAATAATTACAATCTAACAGATATAGTTTTTTCCAAAGATTTCATTTTTACATGCTATCAACATCGATTCGGAAACTGAGAAAACAACTATGCCGTGAATCTTAGTTCTACAACGAAAGTCTGAAGAATAACTGTAACATCTATATTGAATTTCAAAAAATAATTGATTATACCTACTGATATGTTTATCACCTGCTGACATTATAGAAGTGCTTGATTGTGTCAGTATTTGCACCAATTACTCTTACTCCTTAAGCTTAGTACACACTAGTAGACTCCGTTGCGCAATTTGTCTATAGGTAGTCTGGAGACTCAGAATACGATCTCAGGATACGATCCATAGATGGTCTATAGACATTCTTCTGACTTGTCTAGCGTCCATACGATAATGTGAATTTTTCGGTGTCATGTTCATTTTCGCCATCAAAGACATTGTTTTGTGTGGAATGGACTAGGATATGTCTCTGGGTCCTTCAGAATGTTTTATTTTTGTTTCGCTTAACAGAGCAATTAAGTTTTTATGTTTTAATCTTTAATATTATTACACTAATTAAATATAAATGCCACAAACTTATTTTGTTCTCATAGGATTTCTGACCATTTTCCATGGTTTTGTTTCAAGCTGGAATTGACCAGATAGAACACAATGGATTTAAGCAGCAATTCTAGGATGAATTACCAGCCCCAAATATCGTTTTCAGACTACAGCCTCATTGGCAGTGAACGAGATAGTTGAACAATATAGTAAATTCGGTAGAATAATTGTATTGTACACAATTTTTTCAAAAGCCCTATAAAAGTAATTTATTCTTTTGTCAATTTTTGAAATAATGATAATGATCCTCTAACTTTAGTTTAGTGTCAATATATATACCCAAATATTTAATTGATTCAACTTTTTCAATTATTTCACCATTTATCTCGACTGTGACAGTATTTGCATGAAAGTATTTCAATATTAGCATACATTTGGTTTTAGAAGTATTCAATTTTAGTCTATTTTTATCTCACCAATTAATGATTTTTACCAAGTCGGAATTTAGCATCTTTAAAGCAGTGTCTTTATTTTCATCTGATATGTATATTAATGTATCATTTGCAAATATCTTAATTTCACAATAATCTATACCGTAAATGTCATTAATGTTTAAAAGAAATAGTAGTGGACCAAGTTTACTGCCTTGCTGTACCAACAAATGTTTTTGAGTTGGATAATAAAGATCCATTTTTAGTGTTTTGACTTCTGTCAATTAAGTAGTTATCATTATAACTTGCCGCCATTTTTTTAAATAGCTCAAAGCAAAATGAGTGTTAATAGTAAATTAGTATTAATAAACGCTTATGAAATCAACAACGTTTTCAATACCAACTGTATTCATTTTTTCAGGGTTCAGGAGCTGGTCAAAAGTTTTATGAGAATCAGTGCATGAAGGCTGTGAATCAATGTATTGGCAGGGCTGTCCGGCATAGAAATGACTTCGCAGCTGTGCTATTATTGGATGAAAGATATAATAGGATGTCCGTAAAGAATGCTCTGCCAAACTGGATCAAGAGATCGTTAAAAACATGTGAATATGAGGAATGTTTCAAGCAAATAACTCAGGTAAAGTTCAGTCCCATTCATTTTGTCTGTTATATTATGTTTGCTTAAGATTTATTTAGCATGAATGCTACTATTACATTCTAAACAACACAATTACATAACATACACATATTTAGAAAAATAATTGCATCTCTATGAACTTTTATTTTCCATGAAATATTACTTCAATTGTCTTTTAAATATCTTTAAATTACAAGTAGACTTTATATCATTATTTAGTTTATTAAATTCAAGTAATCCTTTGTAAAATATTGATTTGCTAGTTAAATTACTATTACAATTTATTAAATGAAAATCTATATTTCCTCTTGTATGTAGTGTTCTAAATGTTCTTGCAAAAGATGATGTTTTATTTTAAAGATAAAAATAAGAACCAAATATGATATGAAATTTTTTATATTCAATCACTGTAATTCTTGTAAGATATATAATTGTATTATAACCTATTTTCTTGGAATAGGTACTAAGATTATGAGAAGCCCTATAAAAGTAATTTGTTTTTTTGACAATTTTTGAAATAATGTATTCTAAGTGATCCTCAAACTTTAGTTTACTATCAATATATATACCTAAATATTTAATTGATTCAACATTTTCAATTATTTCTCCATTTATCCTAACTGTGATAGTATTTACATTTAGGTATTTCCCTATAAACATACATTTTGTTTTAGAAGTATTCAATTTTAGTTTATTTACATTTAACCAATTTACGATTTTTAAAGTAGTGTCTATATTTTTATCTGATATGTATATTGATGTATCATCTGCAAATATCTGAAGTTTACAGTAATCTAAAATATTACAAATGTCATTAATGTATAAAATAAATAGTAGACACAGTTTACTACTTTGTGGTATACCAACAGAAATATCTTTTGATCTTGATAATGTAGATCCAATTTTGTTTTTTTGACTTGTCACTTAAATAGTTTTGTAGAATATTAAATCCAGATCCTTTAAATCCGTGTGATTATACCAAAATGATGAAAACACAAGTAATGACTCCAAATCTAAACTAAATGTAATCTGACAATAATCATGTGTTTTTAATTTCAGTTTTTTACCAGAAGGAAATAATCCAAGAGAAAGGAGCAGTGCTGAAAATATTTACCGTTAATAATAATTATATTTAAACATAAGAAATATGTGATATAAATTTTCAAAGGACTGTTTTTTTACAATATTGTAGCTTGTAAATATATGAATATACAAAAGTTATCCAGGTACGAGAGTAATTTTTGGCAGAACCCTTGGGGTCATGGTCGAAAGCTGTTTTCATCATCTCAGTGGCTGAAGATTAAAAAAAATGGCGTCGAGCAGGTTGAATCTGTACTTCAGCACATGTTACCCTCAGAGAAAAACAACAGTTACGAGCATATACAATAGAGAAATTAAACAGTTCAAGTCAGTCAAACTGGCTCATACAATTAGTCCATAGGCAGACATAACGCATAAGTTTTAAAGACAAATGTACGGAGATACCTCAGAATTCCTGCAGGCTTTTCTGCAGTAGCCCCCCCCGAAGGGTCTTGAATATACGTCAGCAAATCATGCTTGTGTTTCAATGTCTGTTGTAGATGATGGACTGTGAGATAGTGATGGAGTGGTGCTATTTACAATGGGCGATTCTGGTAAACCCCCAGAATGAGGATCATCGGGGAGCAATTAACTTTATCTGGAGAAGCTGCGCATTTCAGTCAGTGGTTGTATCGTACCGCGTGTAGTAACATGCAATGGATGATCCGCACGGTCGATGTAGCTCGCTGATTGACCATTCATACTTAAAGATGGTATAAAAAGGATCCGGTTAATGGGACATAGTCTTAGTGCCATTAAAAAAAATATCCAAAGATGCATTGGAGCCCTGATGAACAGGTACGAGGGATGTCTTTTAAGTTTTGCATATGGAAATAAAACAACACGGTAGTTAGTTTTAAATGACTTTATTGTTTTTCGATGTATTCTCCACGAAGATTAATACACATTTGCATGCGCTCGAACCAATTTTTGAAGCACTTATTCCACTCGTTTGCTGGCAGATCCAAAACGGCATTTTTGAATGCGTCAACTGCTTCTTCTGGTGACTGGAACCTTTGAACTCGCAGTCTGTTTTTAATTTTCGGGAAAGTAAAGAAATCGTCAGGACTTAGATCGGGACTATATGAAGGATGGTCCAATAATTCCACGTTTTCTTCCGTTAAATACTGCCTTGTTTTTTGGGCTGTGTGCGAGCTTGCATTGTCTTGGTGGAGGATGATTCTTCTTTCGGTGTTGATTCTTCGAAGCTCGGTGACGGCTTTTGGCAAACAACTGGTGGTATACCAATCCACAGTAACAGTTCTTTGCTCATTAAGAGGAATTGTTGCAATATGACCCGCTTTTGACACAAATGTCGCGACTATCTTTTTCGAAACACCTCGAGAACGGCTGACTGTTGTTGGGTTTTCTTCACCTTGGAACACCCAAACAGCCGACTGTCGTTTATTTTCTGGTTCATAACAGTAAATCCACGATTCATCACCACTAACAATGCTGTACACATTTTTTGAGTTTCCGGAATTGAAACGGTCAAGCGTTTTTTGACACCAATTAACCCTGGCTGTTTTCTACTCTTCAGTCAACAGGTGGGGTATCCAACGAGAAACTAATTTTCTTACTCCTAATTCTTCATGTAAAATTTTTTGAATTGAGGAGATTACGCACAGCATTGACGTTTTCCTGGGTGACTGCTATTTTTGGTGCAACCACCCTGGGATCGTCGCTAAGACTCACCTGACCACGTTTGAATTTTCCATACCAACGGAAAATTGTCGACTGATGTGGCTCTTCGTTGCCGAAAACGGACAGTAAATGTTCTCGGTTGAGTTCCATTTTTCTAATGACTTGGTGACACTTAAAAATTCACTGCAGTGAGAACACTGCACCTATTGTCGTGAAACTTTGAATTTAAGTTTACTAAAGAGTGAGGTTAAGATTCAGTACTGACGTTCGATCCGCGCGACCTACTATGTTTCTATATGCAAAACTTAGAAGACAACCCTGACCTGAAGGGTAATAAAATTGGGGAAAGAAGGGGACATACTATTGTACTTGACCGGAGTCTGGAGAGGGATAAACTCTCCAGCCACGGAAGTTGAAGTAGGGAGTTGTACCTCTTTCAACGTGGAGAGATTGACGTACAGATCATCACAAATTACAGCTCTGCGAGATCTCCTCAGGAAGGAGTTGGCGACCCGACTGTTGTGCTAGGAGCACATGCTATGGGTGTTCTTGACGGCATCGCATGTTCGTAGATCGGAAAAAATGCCGGGAGTTGAGGGGCGGAAAATCCGGTTTCGGAAAGTCTGCAAGGGGGACTTCGTGGAGCCTTAATGAACCACAATTGATACAAAATTAATGAATTGAAAAATAAAAACTGTGGGAGTTGAGCTATGAAAAAATGAAGTTAATTTTGTAGAAAGAAGAAACGCGGCACCCAAATACCACAGGACATTGGCTGAACATTGTTTTTATATTGGATCAACATGAACACCAATATCTGTCCTATATTGGCTAAACTCAATTAAAATACAACATTTGGTTTTCTCTTTAAGCCGATATTGGCCCAACATGTTATGTTGTAGGATATTAGCACAACATTGTAATTGCATGTCGCAAACACAGTATGTATTACAGGTAGATGTTGGCTAAATATTGTATTGATAGCGGAAGTGCAATATTGTTAAGACATCATTGGCCAAATATTGTATCTTCCTATATAACACTAATATTGTCGGCCAATATCATTCATCGAATATTCATAATCCTATATTAAATTTGTTCTATACTGGCTAAACTTTGGAAAATACAACATTTTATTTCCTCTTTTGGTCTATGGTGGCCCAATAAGTTATTTTGCGTAATGAATTGCAGAATATTGGCAAAGTATTGTAATTGCGTTCGTAAATAAAATATTACAGATAAAAGTGGGCACAATATTGTATTTATTGCAAAAATAACAATATTGTTAAAACGTATATTAGCCCAATATTTTCTCCGCCTATATAACATTAATATTGTTAATTGTTTAGCGGATATTTGTCCTATATTGGCTAACATTTGGAAAATACATTGTGTTTTCTGACTTGGGCTATATTGTATCAGTATGTTATTTTGCGATATTGACACAATTTTGTTATTGTAATTACATTTGTAAATACATTAAATATATTGTCATAATCGATTGGTAGAATATACAAATTGTCATGTTATCAGTATGAAACTGTATTATCGAGCCAATAAAGAAATGCCATATTGGTTTGATATTGCTAAACAATATTGTACCAATGTATCCAAATGTCTACATTTTTTCTTGCACCAATATTGGAAAATTACCTTGGGCCAATGTATCGTTAATATTGTTTCTATATTGGGACAATATACGTATGTTACTTGAGAAATTTCGGGATTTGAATTACTGAACTTTGGGACTTGGAAATATACCTATAACATAACTCCAGTTCTCACCCAGCAGGTTACTGAGGAGAACTCTAATTTATACCATACTACTAGACTACCCCCGGTATACTATACAGGGTGGCCCATCCATGTGTGGACGGAATATTACGTAAACAAATACATTTTAGGAAAATCTATTTATGGCATGTTATACATGACATTTGAGAGCACATTTCTAAAATATTAGCAATTATACAGGATCTCCCAGTTTTGACCTACATATCAAAGTTGTGATTTTTTAAATGGTATGCCTCAAACTTTATTGCACATTTGGATAAACCAATTCAAGAGAAGAAGAAGATTGATATAATATACTATGGGGTTTTGGTATTTAGATACTGAGATGTAAGCTGTTTTGTCCAGAAAAACCGTCCACTTCGGCGACCCCTCAATCAGCCATTTTGAAATTAGGAGTGCTGAGTTTTGTATCAAAAAAAACTTACACACCTCAGCTTTTATCTTATTTGTTATTTTTTTGAATTCTCATTTTTGCTCTTACAGGGTGGTCAAAAACGCCAATTGTACTTTTTATCAAAAATTTCAAATCCATCACCCTGTATATTTGTGCAAGTTTGGATTCAATTTTTTATAAGCCTTTTTGTGGTATAAGGTTTGATTCAGATAAAATCACTAGCTTTTAATAGAACAACACACCAAAATTAAGGGAAACAAATCACATCATCCATGGATGCAAAAGACAAACCGTAGGCTAGTTCCATATTAAAATTAAGAGTACAGATTTGACGTAAAAACTGATAACAATCAGAACATTATAAATCAGATTCAAGCATAATAGGGAAAAACAACTATAACAACAACATAAACAAACAACTATCACTACTCAAGACCTCATCTACAAAAACTGCTCGAAAATATCTCCACCATGTTGAATACACAGCCGTAGTCTTTGGATAAATGACCGTTGCACATCCCTCAGCATGTGTTCCCTTATGTTCAGAAAAGCATTCTTAATCTTTTCCTTCATATTTTCCGGGGTAGATGATGGATATCTATAAACCTCTTGCTTAACGTAGCCCCATAGATCGAAGTCCATCGGTGTCATATCTGGTGATATAGGAGGCCAAGATATAGGCCCATCACGACCGATCCAACGATTGTTACTCCAGGTGTCCAAATAGTATATTTAGATTATGATAATGCGAAGGTGCGCCGTCATGATGGAACTACAAATGCATTCGAGTTTGCAGGTTGACATCCTCCAACAGCAAAGGCAAATGCTCGATCAAAAAATTCTGTACCTGTTAATCTGTTGTCGAAAAAGGAAGGCCCGATAACTTGTCTGCCAATAACAAGCTTCATTTATTTTGGAAATCTATTTGCCTAACCAAGTAAGGGTTTTCCGTCTCATAATAGTGCATGTTATACCAGTTGACCACACCTATGCTGTTAAAAATTGCCTCATCGCTAAAAAGAACCTTATCCAGGAAAGTAGTGTCTCCACTCTATTTAGCATTATTTATTTTTAGCATCGGTGGTATGGATGGTACCTATGCTTGTGAATAATCCTTTGGACAGAAGTTCTGCATATATCAGTTTCTGCTCCAATTTGCCGTGCACTTAAATGGGGATTTTCCTGCAACTTTAATAGAACCTCAAAAATTATTTTTGCATTGAAAAATATGCAACTTTATTAACTTTCACTACGTACTAAATATCAGTGAATATCTGAAGCGGTTCTGAAAATATTAATTTCCATTTTTTCCCTAAAACTTCAACACCCCGAGTTTTTGTAAGGCAACATTTTTGGACCATAGTTTATAAAGCAAACTAACATTAATTTTTCATGTAGAAAGTAGTGTCTCCACTCTATTTAGCATTATTTATTTTTAGCATCGGTGGTATGGATGGTACCTATGCTTGTGAATAATCCTTTGGACAGAAGTTCTGCATATATCAGTTTCTGCTCCAATTTGCCGTGCCCTTAAATGGGGATTTTCCTGCAACTTTAATAGAACCTCAAAAATTATTTTTGCATTGAAAAATATGCAACTTTATTAACTTTCACTACGTACTAAATATCAGTGAATATCTGAAGTGGTTCTGAAAATATTAATTTCCATTTTTTCCCTAAAACTTCAACACCCCGAGTTTTTGTAAGGCAACATTTTTGGACCATAGTTTATAAAGCAAACTAACATTAATTTTTCATGTAGATTCACACCCTTAAATATTCGCATATCATTAAGGAACACCCTGTATTACATCTACATGTATGTTGATATCTCTGATATTAGTCAACCGTTGACACAGCAGGTTTGTGATGACAGGGCGGGTTTTGCTCTATCAACAAGGTTTCTTTGGGATCCTCACAGCAACCGCGTTGCCCTGGCATTTAGGCTTCTGCTTGCGCGGCTGCTTTGGTATAAAAAAAGCCAGCATTGAGGAAGGGATTGAGCAGTGAACGAAGAGGTAAATATCATACTAAAAGCTGAGGCGAGAGTAGAGGCACAACTTTTTAGGGTCATCAGTACAGCACTCCAGACTTTTTTTGCGTCTGCTTTAGTATTCCAAAATAATCAAGTACATTTATCTTAGCAACGAATATAATCAAACGCAGTTTTTAGGTATTTTGTTACGATGACTTGGTTCCGTTGAAAGAAGTTATTATTAGAGCAGTTATTGCGTAATTAAAAAAGTGTTAAATTTAACGGATTATTCGTTATTTTATAACAACTAATTATGCTAATCTTGTGATGCCTGCTTTATGGGTTAGTAGGCAATCATTTCAATTTCTTTCGGACGAGTCTTTGTTCTAGATTTTCACGCGGAGAAACTTTATTGAAAACGTTTCATCGTTTACTTAATTGGCGAGGATGCATTGTAATCATGAAACATTTTAGAAATAGTCAAAATCGTACAGTAGATAACGTAAAAATACGAGGCATAACCATAGGCAGAAGGCTAAATTGGCAGGCACATGTGACATCCCTGTGTTCGACTGTATATTTATGTAATCCGGAAACTAAGGAAATTCCTAGACGGGCCATCCATTCTAACAGTGTACTATTCTCTCTTCTATCTACATGAAAAATTAATGTTTGTTTGCTTTATAAACTATGGTCCAAAAGTGTTTCCTTTCAAAGACTCGAGGTGTTGAAGTTTTAGGAAAAAAGTGGAAACTAATTAATATTTTTAGAACCGCGTCAGATATTTCACTGAAATTAATTACGTAGTGGAAGTTAATAAAGTTGCATATTTTTCAATGCAAAAATAATTTTTAGCTTTAACAGTGGCGTGCGTAAGGGTATTGACTTCGATATTTTTTAAGAAAAAAATGGTACGCCAAAGGTTTTTTGTCGAAAAAAAATTATTTTTGAATTCCCCGTTCAATTTAAAACAAATGATTTTTCTTG